ATCAAAAACAGGCAGGGAGCACCCATATGTTTTCAAAAGTGGTATGGTATCCCTTAAACCTCATACAGAAGTTCAATGGTGCTGCATTTGTCATTAACCCGCCCATTGAATTCCTGTCAATATCAAGGGGAGTAGTCTAGGAAACTAGACCTTTAAAATGGGTTTATATCCAATTTACAAATCTTTCACTGTGTAAAAGAGGGAGGAAAAATATAATTCTCTGTAGCAATGAGTCAGGTGCTGTAGCTTTAAGAATATCCCTCTACATCTTATGTTAAGTCCTTGCAGAAGGATTTCAACATGTTACTAAAACAAAAGCCACAATCGGTTAACTTCAATTTCTTTGTGTCTAGTACCTCATTCTCCAGTTGATGTTGCCTGAAAGTGTCTGCTCAAACAGCTGTCTTCAGTAGTACTGGAAGATGACTGTTTGAGTACAAACTCCTATTGTCTTAAAAATATTTGATAACTAAAACTATTGTCCACAAATCCTTCAGAGATTTTTTTTCCCTCAACTAGTCTTGCAAACTGATGAATAGAAGGCGCTTATTCATTCTAACATATAAAATGTAGCAGGGGTAGCATATCAAATCCTTTTTACGTCCACAAACTTGTCCTTAGGATGTTTGTCCTGGTATGCTCTTGCAGTTTGTATCCTTTTGACTTAAGTGATACTTCCTTTGTAGACTGCCAAAGAGCTTGGAGGTTTTGCTGTTGAGTCCTGCTTCCCACAGTCTGAATGTGCTGCCTGTGTGAGGAAAATAACCTATTGCTGATGATGGGTGTCAGGAACAGGTTCATCTGGACATGGCTTTTCTACCAGTGTGGATCAGAACAAATGTTCAGCATTGTTTCAAAAAACTGGTTAAAACTGGGTCAGGGATGAAAATGGTTTGGTTGCTAGGTCCAGACCACATCCAAATGGTTTTCCTGTTTACACCAGCAGCCAAACTGTTTTCAACCCCATTTGAAGAAAGGCAGAGGAGAATTGGTCAACAGATGCTTTTCCTAGTGCAGACAGCAGTCTTTCGTATATATGATACATTTGGGATCTTCAAGGGACTGGGCATTTTGAGATTTCACTCAAACATCTAAATAACACTTATTTTAAAGTGATTGTCATGTAGTTTAGCCCCCAAATTCGTTTCCTTAATGAGGATATGAAGTCAATAGACCCATAAAGGATAGAAATGTTGCAGGCAATGCATATTAGCTACATACAATAGGGACCACATGACCTCCTTCAATACAAAAATCTTAATGCAACAGACTCCGCATTAGATCCTCAGTAAGATACAGTTTAATTTTACTGGCTCTTCATAAATCACGGCTATCCCACCAAACAATATGCAATGTCAATTTTTGGACACCCTAAGACTTATTTCCCCATAACTGTTGTCTTAATAAAAATGTGTAATCTAGGAGTTAAAATAGGGCACTAGCAGGAGTCCTGGGTTCTGATTCAGTCTTGTCTTTGGCAAATAACCTATGCCAACATTTTCAAACTTGAGTGCCTAAAATTAGAGATTTAAATCCATATATAGGGACCCTGAAGAAAAGTGGCTTGAGTTGGAGGTCTAACTCCCATTGACTTCAGCGGGAGCTTTGGGTACTTAATACCTAAAGATCAGGCCGTTTTATTCAGGCCTCTAATTATGGATTTAAGTGTCGATCCTTAGGCACACAAGTTTGAAAATGTTGGCCTTAACTTCTATGCCTTAGTTTCTCTATCTGCAAAATGGGGATGATGAGAATATCTATCCATCTAACAGGTGATTTGAGGATTCATGTTTGTTAAATGCTTTGAGATATTCGTGTGAAAGGGGTCCTAGAAATGCAAAGTATTATAACGTGCTTGTTGTCTGAATGTTCTGAAATGGAACATGTTGAATAGTTGTTAACTTCTAGGGGGCAAGGAATACCTCAAGAAGAGTATCTCTTTTATATCAGATTGTACTGGCATGTAGCGTGCTCTCAAGTTGGCTTTCAAGAAAAAAGCTGATTAAATCAAGTAATGCTAATAAAATATAGCATGTTCTGATGCTGCAAAATATGTACAAAGTCAAAGCTAAGATACTGATATAAAATAAACATCTTGGCAAAAGATAGCTACGCTCAGAGCCGATACTTTTCTTGCAAAAATATTCTTTTCCAGTAACTTCACTTCATTACTCATATGGCCTAGCCAGTGTAATGTAAGTGCTGTCATTTTGTCTGATGGATGTTGATTATATGGTGATCATTACTGGACCATTCATAAAAATATATTTTATGATTAGCCCAGAGAATTGACTCTCTGTGCTTCAACCTATCAGAAACTAGTGGATTTCTAAGGATATAGTTATTTGTTTTCAGAGCTAAAAGGAAGATGATCATCTTTTGATCACATTTTAAATATAAAGTGAACATAAAAATGGGAGATTTTGTTAAGATAGAATTCAAGATTGTGGCCTCTTCTCCATACATGTCTGTATCCCCTAGTGTGATGGGCTATTCTGGAACAATAAAACAAAGTACCATTTAAAATAATTTTTATTACTTCCACATTTAATCATGTTTTAATCTAATACTTTTCTATATGTAATTATTATTGTGCTTTATTTACAGAGGGACAGCATGACGGGGTGGAATAGGCTGTGAAGCCTCCTCCCTACCACACCCTACCCACAGAAAATGACAGTGGAGAGGGTCCTCCAAGCTCCCTAGAGCAGCTGCATGGGATGAAGCCAATCAGGGCCCAGCAGGCCTGTATAAAGGGAGCTGCAGGGCCAACAGGAGTTCAGTCTGCTGTGGACTGGAAGAGGAAGAGGTGGTTCTGGCAGGCTGTAAGGGTCAAGGCAGGTAGTTGCTGCTAGGAACCAGGGGAACAAGGAAGGTGCTGCTGGATGGCTGCAGGGACTCAACAAAGATAAGGGTTGTGGGGAATTGACAGTTATTTAAAGGGATGTGGCTGCTACTTAGAGGATTTCTGGGTTGGGGCCTGGAGTAGTGGGTGGGCCTAGGTTCTCCCCCACAATAACCACTGCGGACGTGGCTGTACCATGAGAGAAGGGAGTTTTAGACAGGCTCAGGGAAGGGACTGAACATAGAACTGTTACCCTACTCCTAGAAGGGGGCTAGACAGAGACTGACTCAGCTAGAGGGCCAGAAGACTAAAGGTCAGGTGAAGAGTCATAGACTTGTATGACTGGAAGGGATCTTGAGAGGTCATCTAGTCCAGTCCCCTGCACTCATGGCAGGCCTAAGTATTTTATAGACCATCCCTGACAGATGTTTGTCTAACCTGCTCTTAAAAATCTCCAATGATGGAGATTCTACCACCTCCCTAGGCAATTTATTCAGTGCTTAACCACCCTGACAGGAAGTTTTTCCTAATGTCTAAGCTAAACTGCCCTTGCTGCAATTTAAGCCCATTGCTTCTTGTCCTATCCTCAGAAGTTAAGGAGAACAATTTTTCTCTCTCTTCCTTGTAACAAACCTTTTAGGTACTTGGGAGGAAGTCCTGGGGGTACTGCTCCATCCCAGAATAGGAACCTTTGCACATAAGCTTGCTTAGTCAGGTACTCAGATAGGCCCTGCTGGTCAGACTGAGGATCAGGGAGGGCTGCAGAGACGTTGTCAATAGAGGGGTAAAGTGATGGGGTTTGTTGGATTGTGAAGGGATTGAGCCCAAAGAGCTGCAGGATGTTTTGGAAGATTTTGGGATAGGCCCGGTTGGACAGTATACCCCAGGAGGGGTTTGTTTTATTTAGTTTCGTACATGGACTATGTGTAACTTGGATGGAGGGTTGAGTCACTAAAGGCTTGCCTGATGACTGCAGCGGCTGATGCCGGGAGGGGGGGGGACTGAGAGCAGAGGAAAGCGGGAGGAAAAAAAACTGCAGACATACTCGACTGGAAAGGGTGCTTGCAAGAGGTGGGTGTGACACCACTATAGACAGATTAATCTCTACTGTAACAAAGTCCCCAAAGTCAGTGTATTCAGACCAGAGATGCATTCTGTTTGTTTGTTTTGTTATTGCAGGAAGAATGAGGGACTGTGATAAGGAGGCCATGTAGCTGTGTTGGGGCACATGATTTTGAGGGTAGGGAGTAGAGAAGCAAGGGGGACTGGAAATTTGGCTTCTGATCTCCATTCTGTGTTACTTTGTGACCTTTGTCAAGTCATTGAGTCTCTCTGTGTCCCTGTTTCCCCCCATCTGTAAAATTGGGCTAATACTTGTGATCTCCCCCCGCCCCTCCCCCCCGGGGGGGGGGGGTTGGGACATTTAATCAGTTAATATTTATGAAGCGTTTTAAATGTTTGGATGGAAGGTGTTTTAGAAATACTATATATTACTATTACTTGAGATTAGACAGATACAAAGTTCTAACCTATGTAAGTATAGTGGGTGATTTACCCAGGATGGAGCACTAACTAGCCAGTCAGGATTTGCATTTTCCAAATAACACATTACTAGGTGCAAGGTCATTCCAGGATATCCATTTGCCCGTGGTACTTTGTGAGATGTCATGAGAGAATGAATATGTGACAGATATTAGTCATGTTTCTTAATGCACTTTTGGAAGGTGCTTGGATATTATGGTGATGAGCATGGTATAAGAACCTATATAAGATAGAACTGAATCTGGTTTGATGCAGTGCCAATGTATTGCAACAGAATGAGATTCTGAAACAGCAGCATCTCACTGCATTATCATGTGGATCTTTTGACACACAATCAGTACGGTGTGTTACATTTTGAAGTCCTGTTGTAGATCTACTTGTGTGAATGTTTGAGGCTGCACTATGATTATCTTGGTGTGATCAGGTTTTGAGATGGTGCTACCTTGTTGTATCTCATCACAATGTTTTGAGGCGTCCTGCTGCAACACAACGGTAGCATTTTGAGGCAGTGGGAGTCATTGCTTTGTTACAGCATGATGATAGTCTTAGGTGGGTATGGTGTAACTGGTGGTGTAACTGTTTTGAGGTGGTGGCCTCACATTGGATCACAGGAATATGACCTTTGGAGGCAATGACATGGCATGAGATCATGACACCATGGTGTGGTGACTTTCTGAGACAGCACCAACAGCATGAAAGCAGTTTTGAGGCGTTTGGTGCAGGGTGGTGCTTGGGTTAAAGATTAAATTTGTGGGCCCACATCTCAAACTGTAGTGCAGCCAGGCCAGACCCAGTCACTCGCTGTGTGGGGGATCCAGCAGTTCCAACTTTGCCCCCTCATAAGGAAAAAGCTGTGGAGAGAGACTGGGAATTTGTCTGGCCTTATGTAGTTGAGCCAATCAGAAGGGACTCAAGTGAGTGACAGCCAATCTTTCCATTCAGCAACAAAGGGACCCCGGCACCAAAGGCAGACGATTGTCTGCGAGAGGACGTATTTCTCAACCAATCAAGTTTAGGGATAGGAAAGAGGGCGGCCTCTTACCACTCAGAATACAGGCTGAAGCAGGACAAAGCACAGAGTGGCGGCTCTTCGCCCAATGGCGGATGGGATCGCTTTTGAACCGTCCAATGAGATAGCCGGAGGGCGGCACGTCTTTTTGCGGGTATAAAACCAGCTGCTGGGGCAGGGGGCGGCGGCGGCTGGCATTTGTTGGCGGCGGCGGGGAGTGCAAATTATCTCCTGCCGGCCTCTCGCTCCGGAGCTTTCGCCTGTCTCTCCCCGCCATGACGACCACCACCACCTACAAGGGCGTGGACCCCAACGGCAGGAACAGCTCCAGGTCGGTGATGGGGGTCAGTGCGTGCCCCGGAGCCGTGGGGGAGCGGTGCGGGGCCCGGGGCTCCAGGGGGAGGCGGGGGCAGGGCTGACTGGTCTCTGGGACCGTTTCCCGGGGGGAAGACCAGTGACTGGGCCGCCGGAGTGAGCCAGCGGGGGCCGGGCGCTGAGGGACCCCCCCCCGTCCCTGGGGTAATGGTGAGGGGCTCCCTCTCCCGAAGGATGGGGTGCATCCGGGGTTCAGGGGGAGGCAGGATGCTTTAAAGCCCCGTCCCCGGGGCAGGAGCTGGGGTGGGGGGGGGAAGATCTGGTTCAGCCGTGCGGGTGCCTGGGCTGCTCTCCCGGGGCTGGCAGGCGGCGGGGATACGGCCGCACCCAGCCGGCATGTGCTGCCCGTGGGATTCGCTCTTTCTCGCTGCGAAGCCCTGACGCAGTTGCCTGGGGACGGGCAGCAGCAGGGCTGGGAGCGCGGCAGACCCGCCCCGGGCTGCTGCGGGCGGCTGTGGCTGCTCGCCGAACAAAGGAAGGAAGCTCGCTGCCCAGCCACGCAGCCGGATTCGCCTCTCAGTCCCTCCCCAAAACCCCGGCACCGTCCTCCCTGCAGTCCCTTGTGCCGCTTGGCCTTTGCTATTCGTATCTTGTTCCTTACTCCAGCGGAGCTGCCCCGGGAGGGCTTCCCATACTGGGTGGGGCTGGAGCAGGTTCTATTGTCTCTTGTCTGTAGCCTCTCTACCTGTTAACCTTAGCAGGGGGCAGTGGTACACTTGTAACTCATCACGCATTCATTCATCTAAGAGGCTGCTCCTATTCGGAGACAGTTGCTGCAACTTTATGGAAGATTTGATCCTGCCAGGGTTTAAGGTGTCTATGTTGTTAAGCTCATTGTGTACCGTTATTTCAAATGGATTACAGGCAGATAGATCTCAAAGAGCGTGATCCAGTGCTGGGGGAAAGTGAAGGCACTACACTGCACATCCTTTCTCCACTGATCACAACCTGCAGTGTTGCATTGGCTATTCTTGGAGGCGGGGGGGGGATTCCCACATAGGGAGCCATTTTGAGGGGGCAGCAAACAAGGGCTATGAGACTGCTGTAGAAAAAGAAAGGGATAAGGGGACAAGAGAGAGCATGCTACTAGATCAGGGAAGCCATGGTTTGTCTAGAAACAAAGAGAACTTAATGCATAGCATTCTATAAGAATCCTCTCAAACTAAATTGAACTCATGGATTTCAGTGGTGCAGTGTAAGATGAGGCAGTGTATAAATCATGCTATTCTGGGCAGGGTGGAACTGAGGCAGATGTTTTTTGGTAAGTCATTGTTTTAAACATGCAGAAATTTCCTATTGAGGATTTGGGAATTTAAAAGGTCTCTCTGTTGCAAGAGCTTTTTCTTCATGGCGCTTATGTTGGTTTCTCAGCCTGTTACACATTTCATTGGATTTCATGCAAAGAGCGAGCAGTGCCTTTCTGAAAGTGTGGCTGTCAGCTGTTGCAGGGCAAATGTAAAATCCTGGGATTTGGGTGACGACTAAAAAGCATTTCAGTTCACCCTTAGCTGGGTGACTGAATAGAATATCAGACCTTATATGGAAGCTACGCTTAGCAATTCGCTTGGCTACCCTTTTGTATTTCTGCTTGATTCACCAGGATGTCTTAAGTCTGTTTGACATCAGTCTGCAGAGGAAATGATTGTCACTGCCCTGTAAAGTGGGGGGGATATGGGTTGTGGATGCAAGCCCTTGTTTGAACACTCTGCTCTAAGAACTAATAAATGTGGCAACTGATGATATGGAAGACAATAAAGGAAGTTTTCACATTTGAACACTTTCCCTAGAAGGATAATTTCTCTCTATCAAATATAGGAGTCCATTAAAAATCATCTATTGAATATCTGAACAGTTATACCAAACTACATAACTCACAAAGGGGGAGTAGGAAATCATAAAGGTATATGTGCATTCTTAAAAGCTGTTACTTTTGATCTACTTGGTAGTCTGTGGATTCCCCTACTGTATGTTCCGTTTGTAGGGGAGAATTGGATGCTGTACAGAATCCCCCACCATACACTAAGGAGCAGTGCAAATGTTAGGTTTTCCCTGCTAAAGATTTCTTACAAATAAGTTTAAAAACTCAGTTCAGTTCTAGGATATTAAACAAATGAATTTTTAGGTGTTGTGTTGCTTGCTCTTATGCTGTATTTGAGGTTAGCAGAGTAAAGAAGTGATGTCTTGTGTTCTGCCTTTAGTGTAGTAGGCTTAAGGTCTGGAAAGATCAGAATTAATTCCTGGCAGTGAACAGCCATATCTGAGTCAAAGGCTCAGTATTCCAGCTGTGTTTGAATTTGTGTTTGAATTTTTGCATAGTGAGACTCTATAGACCTCTTTCTACTGTAGGCTAAGGACCAAAAGTTTGGGAAACTGCACGAAAAAGGATTGGGATGCTGTCCACTTCACTATCGTAGAATCATAGACTGTCCATTTTTCATAACTTGGATCTGAACTTTATATGAAAGCAACTTCATTTGATACCCTGAATCAACAACTTTGTCAGTATTTTGAACTTCAACTGAGCGCTGTTCATGTTTCTCATGTAGCCTCATAAGTGGTGGTAATCTTCTGAGATTTCTTTGGTTTCCTCAGCTGTTACTTTTGATGAGCTAAAGGGATGCTATGCTGAAGAAAATAAGCTTTGAATTCCTTCAGCCATGAAAGTGTTGAGCTTTCTTGCTTTCACTTCTTGACTTTCAGGAGGAGGTACCAAACAGGCTTCTTCATGTGTCTTCCTGATCAAGATCTCACTGCTAGATTTTATTTATTTATTTTTTTTGAGCTCTATAGACATGCCAGGACTTTTTTGCTTTGCAGCTAAACTCTGGCCCTTAATAATCCCTGCTCAATACAGATGGCACTCAGGCAATTTTTACTTTAAAGCTTTTTGGTTCATCTCTTTAATTCAGGAACCTGCTGCATGTTTGGGTTTTAAAAAAGTTGGAACAGTTACAAATAGTCTGGAATCTAGACATGATCAGTCATGCAAATAGTACAGTGGTTCATGAGTCAAATGTTGGTCTCTGCCACATTGCTTATTTCAAGATTAATTTCGATGGGGTGTTCTAATGAATTTGGCTGTTCAGTAGTTGAAAGATTGGACTCTAAGATAAATAGAAGGCTTTTTTGGCTCTGAGTTTGAAAAATGTAGCATCTTTCACTGATCCTGGGACACAAGGATAAATGGAGCTGGCTGTTCTGTTTTTTCCTTGTTTGGCTGTCTTTAATATTTAGTGTTGTAAATTGTACAGTATCTCTACAGTCCTCCGATTAGCTACCAAAAATATGAATAGCAGTGACAGAACAAATGTGCCTGTGCTGTCCTGAAGTATGTTGTAGGTCCAGGAGTGAACTACAAGCGTAACCCATTCTTGGTGCCAATCTGGTGCTCGGCTTCTGAGTGCCAACAAGTACAGTGCTGGCCAGTGTTATTCACCTGTTCATTGTGAAAACTAATTGCCTTCTGAGTAGCTTTTAGACCATTATGAAACTGGGCTGAATTTAACCCTTTGTTTAACCCATGTGATTCTATTCTATTACTGTTCCCAGAGCCATCAATCCCTTTGCTTACCCAACCACCTTTTGTATAATACTTCAGTAACAGTGGTGGTAAAACTCTTGAAATATAAGATTGTCACACTGAATCTTTCTCCAGGGTATTGCGCCCTCCAGGTGGAGGTTCCAATTTCAACTTGAGCTTTGATTTGCCAAAAGAGCAGCCTGTGCGAAGGAACAAAATGGCATCCAACATCTTTGGTCTTCCTGAAGAGAATCCAGTTTCTAGGGATGGCTCAACAGGTACAGCTTCACTTTGGTTTCAGTGTCTATTCTAGTGACTATATTCTAATTTTGTAATGCTTTATGGAAAAGGCTGTGGGTGACCCCTGGAACTGTGGAGCAGAATCATTAGCATCCTGTAGTGGATGCAACTGATGACTCCTAGTACAGAGGAAAGATGGCTTAGTAGTTAAACCACTGGCCTGGAATTTGGGCAATGTGGATTAATCTCCCATCTCTGCCACACATTTTCCGTGTGATCTTGGACCTTAGTTTCTCTGTGTAAATGGGGAAAAAGTAGTACTACTTTCATGATGGTGAGACACTGAGGATAGATTCACTAATGTTCGTGAGGCATTTTAATACTGCAGTGATGGGAAGCCTAGATGCCTAGGATGAAATCTTGGCCTGCTAGGATTTTGCTAGTTCATCAGAAATAAAGCTTTGGATAACTGTGCCAGTCTGCTTTCTTGTAGGCTGACTTTACATCCTAACTAAGACAAACTTCTGCTTTCAGGGGCCATGCCCAGAGGTGTCAGAGAAGATTCTGAACCGTCTGGACCCCAAAGGAAAAGCTCTTCTGATGCAAACTGTGGGGACTCTGTAGATCCAAAGGTCAGTGACTATCAAAAGCTTGTGCTGTGCTTGTGGCTGCTTAACCACTGCTAGTAAGGTTGTATGGTAGGAAAAGGGCTTAAAGGCAGGTAGGTGGCTTTATTGTGGCCTCTTACTTTCTACTTGGAGAAAATATGAAATCTCCCTGCATCTCTGACATGCTGTGGGCTTTCAAATAAATAGAGAGTTCGAGATTATTTTTAAACTGGGTGCTCAGTAAAACTTTCTGGCTTGTCCTATCCTAAAATCTGGTAATGGTGAGGAAATCCGTGCCTTAGCCACAAGTTCAATATCATTACCAGCATTTTTGCTTGTAAAGTTCAAGCTGCAGGGCTCTTTAATCGGCTGGGGGGAAGGGGGGACAAGTGTTGGGGATGCCAGCTTTGTGCTGGAGTGTAAAACAAGTAGCCTGGATGCTTGTGTAATGAGTTCCATGGCTGTCATCTACAGGGAGCAGCAGATGCACTAGCCTCTGTATGTGGTCTGGCTTCTTGGGGCCGGGGGGACGACGACAAAACCATGCTACTAGCACAGGTTTTTGCTTAGTATGTGATTCCAAATCCTGGAGAAATAAGATATAGAATAGTAGCTTCTCTGCAGATAGCAAAATTGGGGAGGCTAAAGCAGACTTCACATCTGTGATTCAATTCTAAAAACTAGTCCTCTCACAATCTAAAATTCAGTAATTTTCAAGAAAAGATAAACTGGGTAAAGTATAGCCCCCAGGTATGATGATAGGACAACAGATAAGTGTCTGGAGACCTTCTGTTACTCCTATTTAAATAAAAAGAGAAGGAGTACTTGTGGCACCTTAGAGACTAACAAATTTATTTGAGCATAAGCTTTCGTGAGCTACAGCTAGTCTCGAAGGTGCCACAAGTACTCCTTCTCTTTTTGCAAATACAGATTTTAAATGGTATCTAAGTCACAAAGACAGATTAAAGTTGGCTTTTTTTGATCCACAACAAGATTTATGTGTGTAGGAAATGTCTTGCTTGCTAAATTGGAACATAGCAGCTGTAAATTTCATCTAGTGATTACAGCAGAAAACCAAAGTAAGCTGTTTGGTTTAATTGTATTACATATTCTGTAGCCTGCAGAGGTTGACTTTGTGAACATAATTCCTCACACACAATCCTTCACTTGCACAGTAGCTGTATCTGCAAACAGTTTAAACTTGTCTAGTATAGTCCAGCCCAGAATTTAAGAGGTACATATACATGCTTCAGCCTGTCTCATATAATTATGTTGAGATCAGTGGAGCTGTGTCAGCTTACACCTTAGCAACACGCACACAATTCTGATAAGACTCATTAGCTCACTGTGTTAAAGGGTTGATCTGCATCAAGGAAATGACTTAGTAGTGTATCGATTGCCAGCAACAGTTTAATTTTGGGCCCCAACCTGGTGTTAAACTATCTCCTAAAGCAAGTAAGGAAATTTTCAATGCTGTTACAGAAAATGTAATTGGGACTGAGTGGAAGGTGAGCCACCTTTTGAGAGAGCCAGTGTCAGGAGGGGTAAGCTTCCTAAAGCAGAGGGGGACAAACTGAAAATAATTACCCACAATATATTTAAAACTAACTTCATTGCTTTATGGCTGTAAAATGTAACTTATCATAGAATATAAGGGTTGGAAGGGACCCCAGAAGGTCATCTAGTCCAACCCCCTGCTCGAAGCAGGACCAATTCTCAGTTAAATCATCCCAGCCAGGGCTTTGTAAACTTGTGTAAAGTTATCAAAGTAAACTCTTTCTAATGAAAGATGTTAGATGAACAGTATTGCACTAGTGCTCTAGCCATCTGGTTCTTGCACACATGGGCACAAGACAAGTTTCTTCATGTCGTTGTAATCCTGGCCTTTAGAGTGAGTAGCATCTATGCCCATTCAATCCTTACCACTATGCTCTTATAAACAGACATGTCTGTATTTAAAAACACAGAGAGATCTAATTCGTTTCCCTGATCGGTTAGCAAAATGTCATTCTAGACATTTGGTTGAATTGATCACCTCCATAGGTGTAAAAAGAAAAGGAGTACTTGTGGCACCTTAGAGACTAACCAATTTATTTGAGCATGAGCTTTCGTGAACTACAGCTCACTTCATCGGATGCATATCGTGGAAACTGCAGCAGACTTTATATACACACAGAGATCATGAAACAATACCTCCTCCCACCCCACTGTCCTGCTGGTAATAGCTTATCTAAAGTGATCAAGCTGGGCCATTTCCAGCACAAATCCAGGTTTTCTCACCCTCCACCCCCCCCCCCACCCCCCACACAAACTCACTCTCCTGCTGGTAATAGCCCATCCAAAGTGACAACTCTCTACACAATGTGCATGATAATCAAGGTGGGCCATTTCCTGCACAAATCCAGGTTCTCTCACCCCCCTCCAAAAAACACACACACAAACTCACTCTCCTGCTGGTAATAGCTCATCCAAAGTGACCACTCTCCCTACAATGTGCATGGTAATCAAGGTGGGCCATGTCCAGCACAAATCCAGGCTTTCTCACACACACCCCCCCCCCCCTTTTCCCGGGGACGGACGGACGGGGACACACACACACACAAACTCACTCTCCTGCTGGCAATAGCTCATCCAAACTGATCACTCTCCAAGTTTAAATCCAAGTTTAACCAGAACGTCTGGGGGGGGGGGGGGGTAGGAGAAAACAAGGGGAAATAGGCTACCTTGCATAATGACTTTGCCACTCCAAATTTCCCCTTGTTTTTTCCTACCCCGCCCCAGACGTTCTGGTTAAACTTGGATTTAAACTTGGAGAGTGGTCAGTTTGGATGAGCTATTGCCAGCAGGAGAGTGAGTGTGTGTGTGTGTCCCCGGGAAAAGGGGGGTGTGTGTGAGAGAGCCTGGATTTGTGCAGGAAATGGCCCACCTTGATTATCATGCACATTGTAGGGAGAGTTGTCACTTTGGATGGGCTATTACCAGCAGGAGAGTGAGTTTGTGTGTGTGTGTGGGGGGGGGCGGGGGGGGGGGGGTGGAGGGTGAGAGAACCTGGATTTGTGCTGGAAATGGCCCAGCTTGATCACTTTAGATAAGCTATTACCAGCAGGACAGTGGGGTGGGAGGAGGTATTGTTTCATGATCTCTGTGTGTATATAAAGTCTGCTGCAGTTTCCACGATATGCATCCGATGAAGTGAGCTGTAGCTCACGAAAGCTCATGCTCAAATAAATTGGTTAGTCTCTAAGATGCCACAAGTACTCCTTTTCTTTTTGCGAATACAGACTAACACGGCTGTTACTCTGAAACCTCCATAGATGTGACTGGCAATGTTTCTTCTGATCAGCAGAATACATGCATTGTCCACGGTGCCGCCTTGACATCTGATCTGGAAAATCCAGCATCCCAAGATTGCTTCCTGTTTCTGCATTCCCACAACTCAGAGGGCTCTGCTAGGCATAGAGAAGCATGCTAGACTAGCTTTGTTTAGCAGTCGTTGCTAGGTGGGGCCTGGGTGTTCAGTGCCGCACACTGTATCTAATATTGAAAATGCATTGCAAAGTACAGGAAATAATGTGTTGTCTCTTGTAGGATGGGGAAAGCGGTGAAACTTTTGGTGAGTAACTCTGTCCCTTTCTGGTGTCTAACCTGTGTAAAGTCTTTCAGGAACAAATGAAGTTCTGGTGCATTTGAGGTGTTGGAAGGAGATATCTAATATAATCCAGCCTGTGGTTACCTCTTGGGTCCTTCAAAAGGGTGGTGACTCAAATATTTCCAATATTTGATTAGATGTAGATGGAGTCTAATTGCAGAATGCCTCCCCCCCCCTTTTTTTTTTAACCCATTGGATTTGGGGTCACAGCCTGTTCTTTTGCCAGCAGTAAAGTTAGAGCCAAGAAGTCTGCATTTGGGACTAATATTACAAGGGAAATAGAGTTGAGGAGGGACAATCCCTAGGTCTATTAACTGCTGCACTGCACCATTTTAAGTTTAATACCTACATTTTATTTAACCTAAATCAAATAAATTTTTAATGTGTGACTATAGGAGTTATGAAGTTTTCTAAGACTTATCATTAGCGTCCTTAATTATCGGGGATGCCACAAATGGATCATTAGTACTAGGATTTTAAAATCAACGTAGATGAAGCTTTGTAAATGACTTTTAGTTTCTGAACATTTTGCTGACACTTCAAAGATACTGAGTTCAGACACCATGTAAATATTAAGTTCTGGGTTTAGTTTTATTTAGCGTAAATTCAAAATAAAGTGAGATGAAATGTGGCTGTCTTGCTGATCTTTGTAGCTATTTGTCCAGTATATGCCGTTATACAGGCAAAAGTGGTCTCTTAGCTGTTGAGCCAGGTGCACAATATGGATTTGCTTGCAGCAAATCTCCTAAATGGAGACAGAGTGAAGGTAATTGCCAGTGTCCCAAGTTGGCAGCAATCACAAGAAGCAAAATCCATCTGTTTAGTGCAAAATGCAACTTGCAAATCTGTTCCAAAATGAATATGCAGCTCCTAACACTGTCCTCTGATCAGACAGGATTTGCACACTTGAAATTGAACACTTTAAAGAGCCACACTTGAACATGAGTCAGTTTCCTGCTTCCAGAAAGAACTTTCAGAGCACGCATAAGGTTCATATTTTTGTCAAAGCTGAGCTTTCTTCACTAAGCCAAATGGATACTCAGTAACAATCGGGATTTGTGCATGATTCCTTAGGGCAATGGTGTCTACCCCATGCCCATTAAGGCTCTTAATTATGGCCCTTGAGGAGGGTGACTGTTAAGTGGAATTGGTATTCGATTATAAATTGAAAGTGCTATTAATATTCATGTAATCTTTTAACAAGCCCCTTGAAATCCTAGGCTCACTCTTTTTTCATGTGTATTCATGAAACTTTTAATCTGATTTCAAGTTCATAAAGCTAATAGTTTTTTCTCTTGGTCTAGCACTCTACTTTATTTGGACTATCATCTGAATAGCCTTGCTATTCATGTACTGAGGGCATGCTTCCTCCTGAAGCTGATTTATAGTGCCTTTTCTCCACCTGGAGGTAACTGAAAGCCTTGTGGTCTGTCATTAGGGGCACTGGCAGCTTGAATCTGTTCCTCAGTGACCAAATAGATTTAGCTTCAGCTCTGTTAATCGATCTTTTCACTCAGTATCGTTTTGGCAGGGACATAGTCTTAAATGCTTTACACAAAACCTCTCCAGGATTGGGCAAGCCTAATGTCCTTTGAAAAAGCCAGATGGTACTCAAGTAGGAAACTTGCCTTTCCTTGGTGGATATAAATGGTTACCATCAAATTAAACAATACTTGTAATAAGTGTTTTCTATAACCTGATAAGTTTTCTGTATTTTAAATTTTGTGTATTGGATGACACTTGGTAATTATTTTCACAGATCTACCACTATAGTCAGTTTCCATTTCCATGTGGTCCTTTCACACCAACAGATTTCTTTAAACACAGAGAAATGATTGCCAAAAAATAACACATTGGCAGGAAGACTCAAAAACAAGTATAGTTGTAAAGTGATTCTTAACTCTTTATTTTTAATGTCTTTACCAACTAGTTTTTCTGATCAGGAGTTTATTATTAGCAAAATAGCCCATGTAAATATGGAAAAGCATTCATACCTTCACCTAGACCCTGGAGGAAAAGACTATTCATGATTGAAGTCTAATGCCTTTCCTACCTTCTTAAATTTACACTAGAAATAGCCCATTTCCTGATTAGAACAAATATTCATTTCTTTTTACCCCAGTACTTCCCTCCGTGCTACTTTTCACACCTGTAAGCTTTAGCTTCAGGATAAAGATCAGCAAACCTGTTAATAGATACATTTCCCGAAGAAAAATCTTTCCTCTTTTGTTCTTAAGTAGCAGCTATGGGCTGGGCTTGACATCTGATAGCCATATAGCTAGTGTTGGTGTGGGAAGAGTATCTAATGCCCCTGACTCAACTATGCAGCTTTCCTTAATGTTTTCCTATGAGCCATTACTAATGTGGTTTAATCAGCATTGCAGTGCAACCAACACCATTACTAGCAGAAAATTTGACTAGTACAAAATATTAATTTTGTAGCTCTGCTTGTAATTGAAACCCCAGGGCTACTGGAATAGTTACTTCCAATTGCACTGGATAGTCAGTCAACCCATTTCTCACTTCTTGATTCAGTTCTTGTAGGTGGCCATGTCCGTGAAGTAAACAGCTATTTAAGCGGCAAGTGAACTGGAGTTGGTTTTCCTGATGCAACATTAGTGGAAATGTTTTGGTTTAATAAACTATTGTGACTGGCCAGAATAAGTTGTGAAGACACAGGCAAACCACTCACACTTAAACCTAATGCCATTGACGTGAGTTGTAGAGGTTCTTACACTCTTCCAAAGCAAGAGCAGAAATGCTAGGGAGGCATCTCACAAAGTCCCTTGTGAACCCTGGCAAATCACTCAATTTCTCCTCTTCTTCCCCCCACCAGTTTGCTGTGGATACCCCGAAGCAAATAGAGTATGGTCAGAACTGCACAGCAGTGTCACTGAGCTATCTCACAATGTCTTTTGATATTCCTATCATGTGAAATGTTACATCAGTCATGTAGGTGAATGTTCCATGTCCCACGTTGCTCATACTTCCAGTCTTGTTCTGATATTTATTGTATTATCTGTCTTTGGTTTCTGAACGGCTCATGGAGGAGTGAGTTTAGACACCTCTGAAGGGGAAAGCTTTCTCTCTGCATTTAAAGTTCCCCATCTCAGTTTGGGGTGGTGCTAGAGGCGCTAAATCCTAATGGGTAAGTGTCTCTTAAAGGATACTCTCTAAAATGGATCATATTCAAATCTAGTCCCTCCCCGAACAATTCTTTTTACTTTCTGAATTAAGACAAGCTGCTTTATGATGAACAGTGCTGCTGCGAGTGTTTAGTAAATCTTCAGTTTTTGCTTACATGGAGTAGACCCTGGTTTTACATTGATCAGGTTGCATGCATATCTTCAGGACAAAATCGAATGGGGTCCTCAAGGAAAAACGTGTTTTCAAAGGGGTATAATCTGTCTGCATCATGGCTCCTAGAACTGGGTTCATAGGATTCATTTACTCTTTGCTGCAAGTGCAGACAAGAGAGCATTCAGTTCTCAACATGAATCGGCAGTCTGTCATAATATTTCTCAGTTCTGCTGAGTAGTGTGGCAGGTTGGTTGCATGAGTCAGCCTGAGGCTTCCAAAGAATTTAGAAGTCTGCTACCTGGTTTAAATGTGCCTATGAGCTAATGGCTCTGGAAGTAAATCATTATATTGTAGATTCCCTCTCCATTTTAACATCCACATTTGCTCTTTCAAATAAATTTGTCTTACTGATATTTTAACTAGGGCTATTTTCTGACAATGTCAGGAAGAAACTGTCAGGGTCTACTTAAGCCAGTGGCTCCAAACTGGTCAGTGAACTGTCAGTGGCCTGGAGAGCTGCTGGATCTCACTTCTAGCTGATACATCAGTGTAAACCACTTATCCACAAGCAGTGGCTCCAGCTGCCATAGGAGCGTTGATGAGACTTAGATATAAGATATGATCAAGACTGGAAAAGCTTGAGAACACCATTGCAATAAATAGCGCTTGACTTTCCTGTACATACTATTGTATGTAGTGCACTGGTCTGAAATAGTGGCTTTCTGATCCCTTTCAAGATTCTGCTGCTTCAAAGGAATATGGATGTAATCTGTAATTCTGCAGGATTTTGTAAAGTGTGGTATCCATTTATCCAGTCAGTTTCAAATCATGCATTGTTACTGTGGATTTTACTATATAAGAGAAGCTTAATCTCTTTGCAAAAAGAAAAGGAGTACTTGTGGCACCTTAGAGACTAACCAATTTATTTGAGCATAAGCTTTCGTGAGAGCTGTAGCTCACGAAAGCTTATGCTCAAATAAATTGGTTAGTCTCTAAGGTGCCACAAGTACTCCTTTTCTTTTTGCGAATACAGACTAACACAGCTGTTACTCTTAATCTCTGCTGGATCATTGGGACTTTTTATATATTTCTGACATAAGAATTAATTCTTTTCCCTGGGTCTCATATAGGTGAGGTTTGCTTCAAGATGTTTAAAATGCCCTGCTCAAAGCTGTGCTCTTGATTAAAATTTGCTGATCAAATACCTTTCATTTAGTCTACTGAGCTGAATAATAATCTTTGTCCAGCAGGAATCTTTCATCAAAACAAGACTTGATTGACTTGTCAAAAGGAGTGGGGGGGAGGTGTGGTTCGTGGTTTTTTTTGTTTTGTTTTTTGCTACCACTGATGCTTATTGCCACTCAACCTTGACCTATTCTGTTTAGTAACAGCAAAGCCCACAATCCTCTTCATACTTCCAAAAATACTGAAATAAACGGAAGTAATCAAGACTAGACCTCTAAATAACTGATAAATTGGGGGAAGAAGGGGGATGCATTTTCTGTTAGCTTTTTTTCTGGACTTCATGGTACACATGGCTGGATTTTGATCAAACATGTGACATCCTTCCTCTCACACTCCTGTTTGTAGGAAAACTTATTGTAGATTAACTATGTGGATTGTCCTAAGAGAGCAGAGGGTCTGATGTTCTGGGACAACTGCATGGAAGCTGTCCCAGGCTGCAGCAGAAACTGATCTAGGTGCATCCCTCCTTGCACAAAGATTCACTTAATTAAAACTCCTCTTCCCCAGAAATGGCTATCAATGAGACAAGCTGCATAACTGACTCTAATGAATAGAAAACTCAATAGAGTTGATACCCTAGCAAGCAGCACTTTAATGAATGTGCTACATGTGTAGAGTTCCTGCATGTGTGTTCCTGTTTAGGGTCTTTTAACAGCATTCGAACTAGATGAAATGGCTCACTCTTTTCAAGCAGGCCCACACACTTTAATGTGAATTTTTGGAGGCTTGTAGACAAACTGTAAACAAAGACCACAGAGGTTTAGGAAGGGATTAGGCATTTTATCTCACTCAGCCTAGATCCTGTGGCTCCAGTTTGTGTATTATGCTGTGAATGTAGCATTTAAAACTGTTAAATGCAGAACTCGGGTTCAGACCTGCATTAGTATTCAACGCATGCTGAGACTTTTCACTAGAAGCCGTTAACAGGTTTGATGATCCATAACATGCATGACCACAGGGGTGCTGAAACAATTTGTATAGTGGGCATGCTGAGATTCTTTGAACCAAACTGTAAACCCCATATCTAATGGAATCCACTTCCAGCTGGGCGTGCAGCGGCACCCCTAGTTACAGCACCTATGCATGATCATACTAACAGGTTACTTCTTGCCATGAATTGCGGGCAAGTACTGTTTTGATGGCAATGGAACTAAATTGGCCCCTAAATGACTATAGTCAAGTGTACGATGTGACCGTAGTCTCTCAAGAAGATGTACGTGAAAAAAGTTAATGCTGTCTTGCCAGCAGATGTTGAAGCAGAACGTGGGGGAGAGGTGTACCCTAGTGGAGGGGGGAGTACCTGAGAGAGCAGGAGATTTCCCTTTCTTCTTTTCCATATCAAACACCCTAAAATCTTTTCTTCTAGAAAACATTGAGGCTGATGTAGAAGCTGCTCCAGGCCAGAGTGAAGAAAAAACCCTGCCTGCTGCACCTGTTCCTAGCCCAGTAGCACCAGTACCTGCACCATCCAGGAGAAATCCACCTGGTGGAAAGTCCAGCCTAATCCTCGGTTAAACCCGTTCCTTTCTGACTGTTTTGAACTCGTGTCTGTTTCTTTTCCCCCATGCTTGTGAACTGCACAACTTGAGCCTGACTGTACATCTCTAATTTCTTTCATTAAAAAGAAGCACTTTATGTACTGCCTTTTTTTTTTTTTTTTTTTAAAGAACAAGTTTTTTTCATTTCTGTTTGGTCTCCCCTGGATCTACTGGAAATGACATGTGTTTTCTAGTAGTAAACATGAGGGAAAGCTTTGAGGGATAGTAATTGGCTCTAAGTGTGCTTAGAGGGTTTTTGTACGGCGATTTTTAGAACCTCTTATAGTCAGCCTTTACAAGGGTTTAGAATTCTAGTTGACCAGGCCAGCAAACAATGAATGAGAGCAGACCCCCCTTCACCGCACACAACTGTTGGTTATCCAAAACTTAATTGACTTCCATGTGGTAAATGTCTAAGAACAGTACAGAAGTGTGATCTAGTGTATGCCATGCTGCCTTTAATAAGGAGTATCTTAGAGTTGGACCATTATGAAATCGGGCATGTGCCATATTTAGGGCTGAGATGCCTGTCCTAATACTGGGGAGGGATTTGGGTGTACAGCAGAAACTTAATCCAGTAAAGGTAGAATGAGGTGTGGATCATACCAAGTGAAAATTACAGGGGCATTTTATTATAAATGACTCAGTGCTGTGCATGATCATGCTGGTGCTTGACCATGAGGTGAAAATCTCATCCTTTTAAAATGTGTGTTGTAACTTCACAAAGCTGGACTGTTGCTTAAAAGTAAATAATATAGAAGTTTTGAAGCAGTGTTTCCTGTGTGGGTTTTATTTCTATGTTCTCTCTACTACTGGTACAGCATATCTGATCATTCCTTTGAAATGCTTCCCTCTATTGTTATAGCAATAGTTTAATTAACCTCCATGTAAATAAACAAAAACACATGCAGGTTGTAAATCAAGGAACATCTCACCAGAGTTCAGATAGAAATGGTAGAAGGGTCATCTCTGATCACCCTTGTACTCTATCTACTTAGTATCCTGTCAGCTAGGGCTAGCCCATGATCTGAAGCACAATGGCTTACATTCCCTTTAAAAAGTAACTAGATGTGTAATTCTCTCAGAATGGTACTAAGAGCTTAGTCAAATGACAACTTGTGGCAATGAATTCCACGGGCTAATTACTTCTCTGCAGCCATTTTCCTGTGGGAGGGGAGGGGAAGAGAAGTAAGTGGCTGATGGACCAATTTTATACCAATCACTATGGTCCAGAGGCAAGCATATCAAGACTTATTTTGTTGCTATTTTTTTCCTCTTATATATATGCTAACCTCTTAATTTTTTCAAATGGAACAGAGAAAAGGGGCTCTAGTATTCCTTGTCTAGCTTCATCACTTTGAAGTTCCTTTGCAGTGGTCAGATTTAGCACAAGCCTGCTCTTCCATCACTATACAGGCATGTGTTACACACAGAAAGAGCAAAACAAACAGTGTTAAAATCAGAACTTAACTGGATTTTGGGACAGACTAGGAAAAGTCAAGTGATGATGTTGAGACTCTTCAACAAGTGCTGTGGAAGGGCAAAGACTTAAACTTGTTTGCTCTCCTCCTAATTCTCAGTCTGCCCCAAGAAGGGATAGTGCAGCTAGGTCAAACAGTGATGGGTTCAGCTTGTGTAGGTGAAAAGCTCTAGTTCTCTTCTCTACGAAGTGTGAGGCCTCCTGGAAGCCAGGCCTGAAACGGGTTAGGCCTAAAGTTCAGGCAGCTGCAGGAGCACAGGGTTGGTTGGTGGTTTAATGACTTCAGGAGAGGCATGGGCAAGAAAGCACTCCCACAACTGATCTGGCCAAGCCTGCTACCTCCCGAGCCCCACGGGCTAGCCCCCCAGCAGGACCTGGCCCGGGTGAGCTTCGGCACGATCTGCAGGAGCGGATTGCAGCGATGGAGGATTTCCCCACTCGCTGCTCCGGAGCCCAGCCTCTTCCGTGAATCCATCCACCCATTGGGAACCCCGCCTGCGCGCCCCGCCGGCCGGGCTTCACTGCAGCCCCCAGGGCCGCGAGCGCTCAGATCCCTGCCGCCGGCGGCTTGCCAGGGACGGATGAATATTCATAAAGACAAGCTCCGCCCAGTCCTATTGAATAACAGCCTCTGGGGGCTCTAGGAGGCGGCTGCTACCGCGTGGGTTCTAGTCTAGACCCGGCAGCCGGCCCCGAGCGCTATGGCTGGGTCGACCGCGTCCCGCCTCCGCGTGCTGGTGGACATGGACGGGGTGCTGGCGGACTTCGAGGGCGGCGTGCTGCGGCATTTCCTCGCCCGCTACCCTGGGGAGCCCCACGTGGAGCTGGCGGAACGGAGGGGCTTCTCGGTCCGGGACCAGTACCGCCGCCTGCGGGAGGACCTGGCGGTGAGAGGCCGGGGGCTGGAGCTGGGTCGCGGGCAGTGGGAGCGGGCAGAAGTATCCCCCCAGCTGGCCGATGCGCTGCGCTGCACTGCGCGGCGGGCCGGGGGCCGCGTGCCCCGTCTGGGCAGACGGGCTGCCGGGGCGGGGGAGTGGTAATGCGGGGTAGGTGTGTCACAGAGCAAGGCGGACAGTCCGATCCCGGCGGATCGGCTTTAGAGCAAACCCAGAAGGAGCGCAGCGTGAGTGTCGTTTGGGGCAACTGAGCAGTTCTCTCTGCTTTAGTGGAGAGCGAGAAATGCGCTGTTCCTAGACTACCGGTAAGGGCAAAATGGAGGCGACCCTGTAGGAGAGAGGATTGTTGAATGCTACCACTGTTAACCTTCAGTTGTAGCATAATCGGCTCACCGTGAGCGTGCCAGCCCCTTCCCAAGATGGGGGGGACGGGGACGGGACGAACAGTCTTGCCTCCTCACTCAGCCACAGCCAGTAAAAATATACTCCAGCTGAAAATCTGTCCACAATAGCATCATCATTGCGTTCATTCACCCACTCGGACAACCTGTTATTGCTACACAGCAGCGGTAATGAAACCATCCATCCAAGGATCTCTAAGTACGCTATAGAGGTTAGCTGAGTCTCGCACCAGACCTGGGATGGGGGTACTGGGGAGGGAACTGCAGTGCACAGAGCAGCTACGGGAAACAATGTATTAAAGCTGCAAATGAACCCAGATCTTTTAAGCTTCCAGTAGCCTAAACTATTGCCTTTGGTGGATTCCCCTAATGTCGGATACTGAATGAGAGTTTTCAGAGTAGCAGCCCTGTTAGTCTGTATCCGCAAGAAGAAAAGGCGGACTTGTAGCACCTCAGAGACTAGCAAATTTAAATGAGCATCAGCTTTCGTGAGTTACAGCTCACTTCATCCCATGCATTCAGTGGAAAATGAGAGTTGTGGTTGTGTGTTTGTTTGTTTTTTAAGTAAACTGTAAACATTAAAGAATAAAACTACTAGGAGCATGGATTTGAAGCCTTCTTTTCTTTACAGAATATTTAATACCCTCTACAGATAGTAAGAGGAGTGCAGGACCAAATCACATCCCATACCTTCCCTGAGACATCCACTGCTTCTATTTTTAAAGTCCCAAATAGGCTAGAAAACCACCCATGCCTGTAACTGGCAGTTAAAAGACCATTATTCATGTTCCTCTTTTTCTCTGTCACCAGAACTAGGTACTTGGATCACTCAATTCAGGTCTGATTTTTCATAGGTTTAATCTGATCAGGCTATTCACTTGTTTGTAGTTCGTGGCTATTTTTAACAGATTTAATAATTTTATGAAGATGATAAAAAAATGGTACAGAGTTTAAGCGTAGAAGTTTCTGGTTATCAGGGAATAAGGTACAGATTATCAAGAGGTGCAAAGTTAGATTTAGGATCGGATGGTGTAAGGAATACATAATCTGCAATATCCCCGATTGGGGGAAAAAGGTTAACGGGTCAAAGTACAGACACTGAGATATGAGGGTATTTTGTTCATATAATGGCTATGTTCAGGTGTGGAGCACGAGTGACTACGATGATGAGGATGGATTTACCCTCATTTGGTGAGATTTAATGTTCAGTGAGTTTATGGTTCCAGTTCATATGGTCCAATGGAAAAAGTCTTTCGGTCCCTTTCTCATAGTTGATGCACAATGTCATACTAGAAACTTTTTGGCACCTTCCTTGTCCCCTACGTTCAAGTAAATAGGATCCCAACCCAATTGAAATGAAAATAGTTTGTTCTCTGAGTGAATCTGACCCTGGTATCCAAATGCTTTGGGGCAAACATTTTTCTTCCAGTAGGCTAAGTGCTCGTCCGTGTTGCTAGCCTATATATTATTATGTGGTGAGTCTGTAATCCACCTCATGGTGGCAAGATGGATTGTGGCCTTTTTGTGGGTCTGTCAGCCCGTTACTGATCCATACCAATACTGCCCATGCCCCCAAAACTCATGGGTGCCAGTGGGATACAGAGTCAGTCCCCTCTAGATCACTGGTTTGAATCCAGCTGAGGTCAGGATGAAAGAAAGCTGTTACCATCTGATTACTGTTAATTTTAATTGTGGTTGTTCTCAAAATGTGCTTGGTGTTGTACATGCATGTAAGAAGAAACTGTCTCTGCCCCAGGGCGGGTACCATGTCTTTGTATGTGTCTGTACCCCACCTAGCATGACTGGGGGTACTAGCTGCTACGCTGATTTAAATTATTTGATGATAGGCACGTGTCTTAGTTCCATATTTAAATAATCCACTCTGCCCCTTTACTGAATCCCATTTTGTACCTTTTGGTGTTTAAAGGTCAGTGTTTGGTATTTTAATCCTTGCCTAATCAATAGGTATTTTATTAACTGTCCATTTGTTCTGAACTTTAACCATTGCCTACTACCAAGTTTTAGTTGTTAATTCTTGTTTTAATATTAAATGTTGTTTCCTTTCTATTAATGGTCACAATATAAGATGACCTAATTCCACTTTGTAAATGCTTTGTTTTTTAAAAGTTATTTGTGTTTAACTCCTTTCTCTTTACTGTACTTGACTGCCAAGTTGTCTGTGTGAAACGATCTGGGTTCTGCTTCTCAATTGACAAGTGTTCACAATACAACACCTGGATTCTAGCTTAGCCAGATTCAATAAAAGGATTTGACATCTGCAGACATAACAAGAATACCTAGAGTTGCAATAAGTATTTAAAAAAATAACTCAACAAACAACAACTTGGGGAAGCCAAGAGAAGGGGGCAGTTTGCTGCAGGCCCCCAAACTGAGTTGTATTGTGACATGGCGCACCAGGACGCAATACCACTCACTAAAATTTGGTGATGGAAGAGCTGTCGGACCAAACCTGAGGAGCTGAGCTGCTGCTGCAGAGTGAGTGCAATGCAGGCAAGTGGCATGACAGGCTAGCCACTCCAAGTACAATCCTGTCTAAAACCCTAGGCATGTACTTGGGGCAGCTAGCCTGTCCCAACACTCATGCCACCGTAGCTACTATTTTTAGAACACCAGCTCAATCAGAGCTAGTGCATGTATGTCTCCTGGAGCTGGAAACTACACCCCAAGCTCCCATGTAAACCTACCCAAAGTGTGAGTGGGAGCTTAGTCCCCACATTCTATTCAATCCTTTAGACTATTGTGATTGCTAACGAGAGGGTGAAGAGTGGTGGTGGGTTTTGTGATGTGAGTAGCGTTCTGCTACCACCAGCACTGAGACTCCCCAAGTGATTTCACCCAGGTCACTGACCAACCACCCAGTCTTAAGTCAATTACCAAAAAAAAAAAAAAGAAAAAAAAGTTGAGTTGGACGCAGACCAGTTATTTCCAACTAAAAGGTGCATGAATGACCCTTTTAATTTTGTTTGCTGTGTTTTAAATGAGGAGGAAGCACATCACTAAATGAATGGAGGGTTGTACCCCCACCTCAGGCAGTGTAGCTTCTTCGTAGGGGACAAAGGTGCCTCTGAACCATATAGCAAACCATACAGTACAGCTGTATTAACTCACCTTTTCTGTGCCTTTGCCTCACTTCAGGCCCTTGCTACCCTTAAACGATTCTCCTCTGAAAGTGAACTTTCTCCTAGCTTATGATCACTCTTTTAAACCCTGCCTGGGTGTAGGTCAAAAGCTTCCTCTGTTCCTTTTAAAGGTCTGGTTTCCATTAACTGCAAAATGTCTTTGTCACATGTTATTCCCCCTCCTCCCCACATCATCACAGCTCGGGCAGCTGCATGAAAACACTGCCTCTTGCTCCTTTTGCTGAGGAATGAGCAGTAAATTTCCCCTCCCTCCCCCACCCTGAAAACTGTCAGTTGTGGAGCTGACTAGGAGTGTCCTGTTTCTGGCAGGGGAGGGACAGCGTGGAATAGAAGCAGATAAAACTCTGATATTATTACAAGCAGGCTCATCCCTGTGCCTGGAACACAGGCACCAGGAGCAAGGGGGAAGCAGCTTGTGCTCCCATACTAATGGGCTGTGGGGGCCAGTGGAGTCCCCCCATGCAAATGAGGGCTGCTGTAACTTGTTCCCCTCCTTCAATGAGCAGGGGAGCAGAATCACCAGGCTGCTGGTCTGTCCTGGCCAGGACCTTCATTCATACCCCCTCCCTGCCTCCACTCTGTTCCAGAACAGTCCCTGCTCCTGTGGCTGCTGGAGATGGCTCTGCATCTGGTGTAAGAGTCTCTGAGCTGGGTGTTCTCCAGAGCGGCCTTCTACCTGCCTTGCAGCACTATTATTCTCCAGCCTACCTAGCTAGCACAAAGGGGCCAGAGCACAGTGATAATTCTGTCACTTATTTACTTCCAGAAACGGACAAGAAAAGTCAGCATGGTCTCAACTATGCATGAGACTGGGAACAAGGACCTCACCAGACTCAGAGCCAGTTCTGCCATTTGCAGTGACCACAGACAAGTGCTTTTAATCTCCATTTCTTTATCTGGAAGAGTCAGGATAAAATCTACCTTGCAGGGGCAATGAGGATTAAGGACCAGGAAATGCCCTGCATTATTGAAATGTCTTTGTGGCAGCAAGTCACAGGAGGAGGCTGCATTATATTAAAAACTACATTCATCATTGTTCTGCTTGGTCCCTTTCAGCCTCTAAAATCAGGCCCTTGGCTACAGGTATATGAAACAAACAGTCAGTGACAAGCCTCTCATCCCCGTTTCAGAAAAGCCTGTCATCTCTGTTGTCTTTCAAATCCGAACCAGTCACTTTGTTCCAGGTGGGTGGTGACTGGCCTATGGTGGGTCTCTGCCAGTGCACAGGTGCCCCTCCCAAAACCCACTACCACAATTGGTTTTAAGTGGCACCTTTATTGTCAGGGTCAGGTGAGATGGGGTTGGCAAAGCTTGTGCAGTTGCTCTCACTGCTGAACTGGTTCTGTGGATGAGGGACTCCAGTCACTAGCACTGAATTGCACAGGACTGCTAGAAACACCCCACTCCATTGCTGAACTTTCTAGAGACTAATTTCCCAGCCTTCACACTGCCTACGCTGACCCTCACAGTACAAGTAACTATCTAAGCTTTGAATTTCCTGGCTTTGGTCATTTTGCCACTAACTTAAACATCTTAAAATAGAATTTGCACTGATGTTATCACCATGGGGAAACTGTTACACTGAAGCCAGAATCTGCTCTTAAGACATTTTAATCTTGTTGCCTGAGGCTTTAGAGAGCACATATACAACAGCATGGAGAGCAACACAGCAACCCTCCCTCCAGTATGCTTCAGTTGTGGTCTGGCAGGATCAGCGGCAAAGCATGAGGATGACTGAGTCTCTGTGTCCCAGTCTGTCCTTGACCCCTCTGCTGAGGGTGCCAATTATCATAGTGTGGTGTTCTGGGGTGTTCGTCTGGTGGCACATTTGTTTGTTTTTGTAATGAGGTGGATATATATCTACTGGGAACTGGAATGAGATCCAACTCCTTACTTCACACAGGCCACCAGATGGTAACAACTTCCAGTCTTTATCTGCTTGGCCTGGATTTGTCCTGGCAACCAGTACGTGAGACTGTGTAACCCATTACCAATTATCTCAGCCGCTTGATCTCCCTCTGAAATGTGGACAAAATAGATCCTTTTGATGTTTAATAACACCCCTGGGGTAAATTCAATAGCTATTATGCAGAAACCTACAATAAAAAAAATTGCTAATTCTCCTCATCTCTCTTCCAGGCTAAGGTAGCCAGTGTCTATGAGTCACCTGGCTTCTTTCTGGGGTTGGAGCCGATTCCAGGAGCCATTGAAGCCATGCAGGAAATGATCCATATGCAGGAGTAAGGACACTTTGCAGTACACAGCTCTTTTCTATTCTCCATGTTTGATGATTACTAATCAGGGCTGTTTCTTTTTAGCACTGAAGTTTTTATTTGCACGAGCCCCCTGATGAAGTATGAGCACTGCATCCTGGAGAAGGTTGGAGATCTCCCCCTACCCTCGCTTTAAGACTGCTATTGCAGAATCTAGCCTCTTTCAACTGTTAGTACATGCCCAAGTACCATACCAATGTGAACAAAGCCAAGCTGCAGCCTGTGAAGTCTGTAGGGCCCAGCATGCAAAAATACTCCATGTGAGTGGCAGCTTTTCAGACTGAGAGGAAGTATAAAAGGCCAGGAGCAGTACTGTGTCATGCCTTTTGCAAGGCATCTGAGTCTTACGCAATGGAAGCCAGAATATAAAACTTAAAAACCAAACCAGACAAACAAACAACAACTTTCAGCAACTCATACCCACAGTTGCAAGAAATGGCATGGGAAGAGTGGGGGAGGGTAAAAGAACAGATGCAATATGGTCAAGTAGACGCTACCTTGACTCACTGCATACTGCAGAGGCAACCACAGAGGCAACCAAGGGGTTTCTGATGCACTGCACCGGGACGGGACTGCATGCCAGAGGCTCCTCCTCTGAGAAAATCCTGACTAAATTGAGAGATGATCACTGCCAGGCAGAAATGTAGGGAGAGGGGTTACTCAAGTACTTTGGGGTTAGATAATGAAGGGCCTGGTATATGCCCTAGGTTGACTTCCTCTCATGCTGCTTTACGCCAGTGTAACTTCATGGTACCCAATGCAGTCATGAGCGAAGGGCACTGAAAGTACAGTTCACATCAGTCCTTTTAGTGGCCCGCACCACGGCCCAACTGCAGGGTTCATAACACTCCTAGAAGAGATTTGGGCCTGTAGCATGAGATCACTATACTATAAATAGTCAAACTTGCTACTAAGTAAAATTCTTCTAATGCTCTACTTCCTCCCCTAACAGTACAGCTGGGTGGAAAAATACTTGGGTCCTAAGTTTGTGGAGCGACTGATTCTGACCCGGGATAAAACCGTTGTGTCAGCTGACCTCCTGGTTGATGACAAAGACACCATTAAAGGTTTGGGAAACTTGAGGTGGAGATTTCACAGCAGATGATTTACTGTTGTTTGGAGAAAAGAACAACTAACTTCAGCTTTCCATTCTGGCTCTTCTCAGGTGCGGAGCCTAAGCCAAGCTGGGAACACATCTTGTTCACTTGCTGCCATAACAAGCATCTAGAGCTTCAGACCCCACGCAGGCGGCTGCAGTCGTGGGCCGATGACTGGAGGGGGATAGTGGAAAGCAAACGCAGAAGCAATGTGGAAAAAGAATGCTATGCTAGTCTCACTGCCAATGGGAACTGATAAGTTAGGAACTGGCAACGAAATCCCATTTAAAGAAAGTGCACTGACTTGGGTAGGGGCAGTTTTAAGGGCCAAAGATACAAAGCTTATTTTTTTAAGATTTGTATCTTCTTTAGACTATTTCTGAAATGTAGTTGCAATTAAATTACTGACTCTTTATGGAGAGTCATTAATGACGTTTGGAGGGAGAAACTTGACAAGAGATGAGCAGCTGCTTATAATGCTAGGTAGCATGTTTTGGGTTGGCAGGAAGGGAGGATGAAGAAATTAGAAAGAGGAAGTAGGGCTGTAAAACTCTATGAAAGCACTCTGCTCTCTGCCCATTCACTCAAATACCTGAAGCTGTAAGTATGAGGGACACCATCATGTTAGGAAAGGAAATCTTGTTTTCAACAGTTTAACCATTTTAATAATCTCACATACTGAGCCAGACTGGCTGTTCAGCACCCTTCCACTTTTTACCCTACTTGGCTCATAATGAAAGTAGATAGTTTCACTTCCTGGTTCTCCTGCATTAATATGAGCTGCTAAGATTTAGGTTGCAAATGCTGTAGTTGGTGAATGTCTGATCCAGAACAGTTTACACTTAATAAAACATTAACTTAAAAAAGAACGTAAGAGGAAGTTTTACAAAAGCTACCACAAGACCAGTTGTCCTTCTGAGCTGAAGTCTGCTGTTAGTATTCCCTTTTAAATCTTAATCTGCATCTTTCCCAACAGCTATGTTGTGGTGAATATATTATTCCTATTGATATTTAACATCAGTAGGGCTAGTCCTGTATCCTAATTAACTGGCCAGGTGCCTGTGGTATGAGGATGCTGGCTCATACTTAGTCCTGAGGTATGTGATCAGACTGCAAATTGTAGGGGGAAGAAGGAGTGTTCTCGCCTATTGAGAAATAAAGACCATATGATTTAAACATATTTCAAAGCTATAACCATTGAGAAGACGGGCAGCAATAGTTGCAGCTACGGCGAAGGTGATGCAAAAGAATTGTGTTGGGTTTAAGTTACCTGACAACCACACTGGGAAGGGTAACATCAGAAATGGTTATTTGGGTGATGGTTCAGGAATTGCTTGGCCTGCTCTCTAACAGCCATAATATGTTTTGTATTAACAACAGTTTAGCTGCTAATCCTGACTTCTGGACCCATGTCCTGGCTCCCCACCTGCCCTTTTCAAACTGAGGCAGAATTTTAGCAATGTCTTTCACTAGTTTCACCAGTCCTGCAGGTGGAGGGGGCTCTAAAGATGAAATCAAGAATCTCTCTTCTCACGCAATAACAGTCTCAAGCTACTCCCTCTGCTCTGCACAACATCAGTCCTTTGGGAGCGGGATCCCTACAGCTGTATGTTTGCTCAGGTTCCTGGCCTCCTCCACCTGCACAGGAGAACAATAATCCTCAAGGAAGACCCTTGCCAGGTTGCTTAGCCTCCTGTTAGCTGAGAGGGAGAAACGTAACATGCACTCCACCACCGGGAGTGCCGTGGTCTGCTGGCGAGACTGTGGCATGGTCAAGTACATCAGAGTAGTCACTGCCGACATCACTGTCTCCTCATTTGAGCTGGATAAGCAGTTTATTACAGGTGCCACCCCATCTGCCTCCAAAATATAGTCCTTGTTTGTCTTATCCAGACAGAGGTTACAAAGACCACCTGAAATAGAAAAGAGAGGGAGTGTGGCACCAGCTACCACCACCTTAGATCCTCCTCTTACTAATACCTAACTAACTCCCTGTTGAGGTTAAGTGGCATTGCTTCACCCAGGATCCTCAGCTCTTTCTTAGGGCTTGTTTACATGGTAACTGAGATCAAAATAACTGATCTTTGCCATTTATGCCTTTAGTTAGTTCAGAGCAAGTCTAACAGATAGTTTTCTTTAAAAACAAAAAAACCCCAACAACCTACTTAAGTTAGTTCACAAGAGCGTACTATTGTGATATAAGTGTGTCCATACATACACTTGCACTGAACTAACTACAGGTGTTAATTCCACCCAATTTAATGTGCTTATTACTGGTATAAAGTACATACAATACCAGAAACAAAATACTGGTTTGCACTTCACTGAGACCCTTGTCCCCACATAGAATCAACTGCCCAGAATATTTTTATAGTAGTTGGAAAACTGTGTCTCCCCTGCTCCCGGGCTAAGTTTATTCTCAAAAGTCAAGGTGATTTTTCAACCAAAGCACTCATTCCCCTATATGACATTAGGGGGCACTATGCTGTTGGAGGTAACATCTTTCACAAGAGGTTAAACAAACAGAACTTGTCATTTAAAAATCCTCTGGTTAAAAGACTTGGTTTTCTGTTAAGGAACTGCCTTATTTCACCTCTACGGTGGCTATAATCCAGTAAAGAGTGTGAGATTCCTAGAAATACCTTCTGTACTGCACAGGGTCTATAGTGGCTTAATTAGTTATGAGAGGTGCTATTAGAAGTAGCATGGCATTATTAATACTAATTAAGATATTGTAAATATGATTTCTATTGGTGCAAATACTAGTATGTATCCTGTACTAACAACACTTTGCACTTAGGGTGCAGCCATACTAGCAACATTTTGATCGATAACACCCCCAGTGCAGCTCTGTCAGTGGAAGCTGTGGTAAGTACACAGGGCTATGTGTATTTAGCCATTACATCATCTAACCATTCAGGATTTGAATTTGGCATGGCTGGCTTCCAGTGTGTATTGAATCCACCCTGACTGGCTCTAATGGGATTCCTCAGAAGACTTCATTATATTATTTAGAACCGGTCCTTTTAGAGGATTAACTGTCAAAAATAGCTATAGTAACAATACTGGACCTGCTCATGCTCTATGGAAAAACCTTAGTTGTCCTCAATGACTGTATCATTACAATAGGGACATGCATTACAAATTACCATTGAACTGGAGTTTTTGTTCCAATATTCAGGGTTTTACCTAGTCTTATAAATAAGTTTGTTTATTTTTCAGCACTGCAGCATGTTAGTGGAGTGAAGGGGAGACTTGCCTTAATGTGAAATAATTCACCTCAAGCCCCTATCCTGATCTCTCTCACCTGTTCCAGCTATTCTATATAGGTTTTTATACTGTCCTCATCACCATAGTATCTGAGGGCCTTCCAGCAGTGCATTAAGCAGTTTGTTCAACATCTGCCACAGATGGTTTGTCATGTGTGGTTGATCCTCTCTCCCAAATTCAAGTGGACTACAGAATCAAAGCCAGCGATATATCCAACCAGTGCTTGGAACTGCTATTGTTCATTTTACAAATAGTTTTAAATCCACTCCTTACCAATTGCAAACTCCACAAGGGTCTCATTATCCTCTGTGAGCATATCTAGGAACAAGTCAAGGACTTGAAGCTGTCGGAGATATTCGTAGTTCTTGGGATCGTAGGCGAAGTTGGCTAGATTAGCCAGTACTTGCTCCTTGGCTTCTGCAATATATAAGCAGCATTTAGGTGACAAAAGAGGCAGCTGAGATGGGCTGGGCTCTCTAATTCCTGAAGAAAAAAAATCAACCAGCAACTGATGAGCCAGTTATGATCCTGACATTTGGAATATACTTTAATAAAAAGAAAAAGGTTTATAAGCTCACCTGGACTCTCTGTTACCTGGAACTCGGTGACCAGCGCTTGCAAGTATTCAAGCCGCCCCAGTTCCAGCAGATCCCGCTGCTTCTGGGACATGGTGCTAGAGAGAGAAAATTAAGTTTTGTTCACAACAATGTCCTGAATGGCCCCAGTTTCACTGCAAGGTTAATAAAAACATTTTAATAAGTGTAAAATATTCAATTGATTTTCTTTTGCCTCCCTTCAGACTCACTGAGGGAACTGCAAGTGGCAGGATTACAAGCTCAGGCCCTGTCCATGTTTGGATCAGAACCATGCTAGCTACAGTGGGGTTTAAATATTCCTTATCTGCACTGAGAATAACTGATAATTGTCCCATGTTTGGTCTAGCATAGGTGCAGCTCCATTAGTGGTAGCATAGACTAGCCATGAGTGTTTTTACTGTAGTGTCTTCTAACTCTTTTCTGAGTAGGGCTAGATGAATGCTGGTAAAAACCCCTGATCCTCACCTACACTACATTTTCCATCATTGCAACCTTTGGTGGATTTATTATGTTGATTTCCCTAGAGTAGATGAGGCCAGTTTGAATGGGGCAGAAGCTCCCTCTAATCTTAAAATGCACTATTGCCAATCCCAAACATTCAAAAATTATGAGTCAAGATGCACAAAAAAATGAGATTGGTTTAAAAATCACAAGATTTGCAAATAAAATAATACATTTTTTGTTTCTTTCTATTGGCCATGAGGTTTCTGAACCTTTGGGCTGCACTAGGGGCGGATCACATTTTCATGCTTTTCTCCGCAACAAGGGATAGAATCTGACCTTTTTAAAAATGAAAGATTCTCACATAGTCACAGGACTCCAGGAGCTGGGGCTTTAAGAACTATCCCCAATTATTGCAAGACTCCCACTGAAAATCAGAAGAGCCGGCAACACTGCGACGTGGTCCAGGTCACCACCCAGGTGCCTCCTGAACCAGTTACAGGGGGAACCTGCTTTGCAATCCAGCTCGGGCCTTACACCGTCTCCAGCGCTGTCCCAGGCCCTGCGCCCAGGGCGCGAGCAGTGGGCGGTCGGGTCAGGGCCTGTGGGGCGCAGCTCTCAGCCCAGCAGCGGCCCACATGCCCCGGGCACAGACTAGGAGGACAGGGACCCGGGACGGGACCTACTGAGCTGCTACCAGGCCCCTGGCTCTGTCGCCCCAGGCTCCCCCGCCACCCTGTCCTCACGCGCACAGCGCCCCGCGGCGCCACTAACCGCTCCCGGCGCCACACGCACGGAGACCTAGGCAGCGGGGCGGAAATGACGGAAGGGCAACCCTGACAGAAAGGCGGCAATGCTGAGCGCGCGGCCGGATGTGACGTTTGTGGAGGGCGGGAGGCCCTGAGGCTCGTAACGGGGCCTTGCTGCTACCCGCCATGGTGGGCCGTATGTCGGCGCGGAAGCGGCTGGCAAAGCCCCTCCTCTTCGGCAGTATCCTGTGTGCGTTGGCCACCGCCTTCGCGTACAGGTGCGGGGAGGAGGGACTTGGCCGGCAGAGAGCGGAGGGGAGGTGCTGGGGGGCCTTGGCTGGCAGGGATTGGGGGGCACTGGGGGTCTTGGCCGGCAGGGATTGAGCGCGCTCAGCTGTGTGGGGGGCACTGAGGGCTTGGCTGGCAGCGATGGGGGTCTCAACGGTGTGGGGGGCACTGGGGGCTTGGCTGGCAGTGATGGGGGGCTCAACGGTGTGGGGGGCACTGGGGGCTTGGCTGGCAGCGATGGGGGGCTCAACGGTGTGGGGGGCACTGGGGGCTTGGCTGGCAGCGATGGGGGGGCTCAGCTGGGGGGATACTGGGGGCCTTGGGTGGCAGGGAGGGGCTCAGCATGTGTGGGGGACTTAGATGGATGTGGCCGGGGCACGCTCAGTTCACTGCGGTGACATCTTTCTCTGTCTCAGGCACCGCTTCTTCCCTGAGGTGGAGGAGCTCCGTGCTAGGGAGTATGAGCGCTATGAGAAGAAGCGTCAAGATGTGGTGGAGAGGCGCCAGAAGCAGCTGGCTGAGCTGGCAGAGAGGAAAGCTTCCCCATAGGCTGTGATGGGAAGGAGATGCTCTGCTCCAGGGAGCCTGCTCCTTCAGTGGGGATGGGGAGTTATGTTCGGAAGTGAAGAATATATGTATACAACTCTTGCACATGGCTCACACTGACTGCGTGAAGTTTCCATCAACCTGGCAGGGATGTTGGCTGGTGGTTTTCCTCCCTCAGCTTCCTTGATCTGCATGAGTGATGGCTTCAAATATCTACCAGGTGGTATCATGGTCTGCTAGTCAGATCAGGGTTCTGGCAGTCTGGCAGTGTGGGTTCAATTCCTAGCTCTGCCAGTGATCTGCTTTGTGTGATGTTGGACAAGGTACTCAACCTCTCTGGGGTTCTCTCCGCTAGGAAAAGTACTTGAGTTTAGTTTGGACTTAGCTAATGTGCTAGCTGAGCCTAACCTAAATTTGACCCTTTTCCTACTGTAGACACATTTAGCTAGTCAAATTGTAGCCTAGAAGATGTTACCCTGCATCTACACTAGGAAAAAAAGTCAGGTTTCGCTAACCTGTATTAGCCAAGCCTGATCTGAACTTGACCACTCTTTCTAATCAAGAAAAACTCTCTGTGCCTCAACTTTCTTATTTGTACAGTGGGTAATAATGCTTGCCCACTTGTATGACGCATTCTGAGATCCTTGGATGAATGGTGCTATATAAGTGCTAAAATAACTGACAGGTGGTAATATACCTAGGCTAATTGCCAGGTAGGGTGTGAGGTATCCAGAATTCTGGATCTCTTCAATGTAACAATATTGTATATATTATCTAAAGTGATTTTTGTAATCTGTTCTTTTTGCCATGACAGTGTTGCACACCACCAAATAAGACTTTAACCACAAAACTTCTGTCTGATGAGTCATCTTTAAGAGTGATTGATGAGCTTAAGTTAGGCATAAAATGACCAATCCCTGGATGCAACCCACTGGTTATTTATTGCTCTGTGGGGCATTCACAGCAGGCTTCTTACTGTTAATTGGAATGTTTTCTTCCCTATATTTTATGCTGACAAATGAAGGGACCACTCTCCCTTGAAATTACAGATGTAAATAAACAAATACTATAATGTCTAACCCTTCCTGTAGTAGAGAACCTTGGGTAGGAGCCTTTTCATTGCTGTAGGAAGGGCCTAAACTTCCCCATGCGAGGAAGAGTTACCCACACATAAGGCTTTCGCTCATTATCTTTGTATTTCCTTACAACAATATTTTTTAAATCTCCTGTGTCGTCCTACTTCCCCAAACTGCTGTAATATCTGCGTTCATAAGAATGACCATATTTGGTCAGAGCACTAGTCCATCTAGCCCAGTATCCTATATTCAGCCTGCTACTAGGAGGGCAAACAGCTTCATTCCAGGCTGTAACTGTGTTGGCCAGCCGTCTTGTAGACAAGGAAAACAAATTTCAGACCTACTCTGGACCGAAATGGAATCTGTTCATCCACCCCTTTTGGGTTTGTTTACTCTGGTAAATTATTAGACATGCTGAGTTGCAAAACAACGGTAAAAGAAAATTACATGGGATACCTGTGGCTTCAGTGGATAAGAGTGTGTGTATGTGGGAATAAAGTTTTTGAGACCCTTGGGAGAAGAAAGGAGAGAGAAAACATACAGGAGATGATAGAGAACGGAAAATAAAGTAAGGAAAGAAAGGGGAACAGGGCAAAGTGGAGGGAAAGAGAATGAAAAGAGGGAACAGCACGTGCACGGCAAGATACATGCTTTATAAAAGGAAAGGAGAAGTGGAGTGAAGCCAGGAGGGGGAGGAACATCTAGCAAAAGGACAGGAGATAACTACGCCAGGAGTACAATGTCCTGGTCTAAATGCAAAGTTGCACAGGTTTAACTAAAGGTGTGAGTCTAAACCAGTTTACTTAAACTGGTGCCACTTTCTGTATGAACACTCTTAAATGGACTTAAACCTGGCTTGTGTCAGTTTAGCTTACACCTATATTATTTACTTATTTATATTTTATTTTTTGTATTATTTGTAAAGTTATAGGTGTGAGCTAAATTTGATCTAAACAGCCTTAAGCTGATGAGTGTCCACACAGATTTACACTGGTTAGTTAAATTGAGTTTTAAACCAATTCAAGTTAAACCAGTGGAGCTTCAGTAGACAAGGCTTAGCATAGGAGTCAGAATGAACTGATTAAATAGAAAGATGATTGCTACAATTAAATGCAGCACCCAAACAGCACCTAATCATTTAAAAATTATAGAAGTGTGGCTAGTTGTGTGTGTTAAAGTGCAGGTATTTTCACCTATGTTTGTAGGCATAGGCCAGGTTTGCACTAGAGACTTTTGTCAGCATAGCAGTGTTGGGTAGTGGCACGATTTTTTTTTTTTTAAATGACACTGTTATATTGGCAAAAACCCTACTCTATAACCACTGCAGTTACACCAGCATAAACATGCTTTTGCAGCATAGGTTTTCACTCGGGGAACTGGTATAAGGGAAACCAGCAAAATCACTCTTTTGATGGTATAAGCAGCATCTCTACTAGGAGGGTTTGCTGTTCTAGTATACCAGCAATCCTTTTTCTAATGTCCACTAGGCTTCTGTCCTTAAGGTAGTAGTTGTAGTATTTTCAAGCCCTACCCATCTGTAAATGGAGAGTGTGTGTGTGTTGGGATGGGGGACAGTAAGTGCAGGGAGCTAGCCAGTGTATGAATGTGAAGGGGGGTGCGGGGAAGAGTATGCGAATGAGAGGAGAGAGATGAAGAAAGATTGCGGGAAGACGGAAGTGATTAAGAAGAGTTAGACTGAATGTAGGGGATGGAGAGGAAACGTCCTGAGAAGGTGAATAGGGATGAAGGAGCTGCACTCAGAAGTATTAAATCTGTGCTCAGTCAGCCTGTAATTCTGCACACAGAATTAGAAGGAACATTGGCCAGTGGCACGTATTGGTTTTGCCCAAGGAACAGGGAAAAGGAATTGTGGAAATGGCTTGTGTCCATTAGCTGAAGCTGAACGTGTATACTGTAGGGGCACACTGTTCAGTTCGTGCTATTCACTGCAAGGTTGGTGGGGAAATAAGGCAACAAACCATCCATAATATCTGGAGGAGGAGCCCAACTTTGCTTGTCTTTTTGAGACCTGCTAGCTCTGTTTCCTCTGGCCGTAGTCTTGCTTCAGCATAAACCCAAGTTTGCCAGAAGGTGTGGGAGTGTTTTTTGCATTTAATAAGGAGAAGCTGTGTGGAGGTGGTTTAATTGTGTCCACCTGGCTTATGAGTCTTGCGAGGTTTACATAGCAATTGTGGGAGGGAATTCACAGACCACACTAGTACTCTGTGACAGGACTCTTTTCAGGGCAATCCAGGTGCTTATCACCTTCAGGCTAGCTTATAGCAATGAGCTTGACTTGGTTACCCATGAAGACCATTTGTCAGCTTCAGCTAGTGCAGAGTGGTCCTCTGTGAACATGTCACTCTGATGCTCTGTGCTGGCTGTTTACTTATAGTTGTTGGGTATGTTCTCTAAACGGCCGAATGCGCCAAGTACCAGGTAGTTGACAGGGTCATTAACATCTGTTGGGATAATATTGCTAATAGGGCATTTACAACTGAGGATCTGTACCAGTGGAACTGGTTTCTGCTGGTAGGCCACCAGAGCTGGAATTTAGTGAGTTTTAGGTTATAACAGGCATATGCTCATTAAGAATTTGATGCTTAGATATCACAATGATGGGTGTCTTTAGATTCAGCCTAAACTCAACAGGTTGCATTGTGTGGATCTGATTGCAATACTCTTTGTTACAGGACCACAGCAATGAGTACATTGTTTAAATATCTATGAGAATGTTTATTGCTATGACATACAGATCAGGAGTGCAGATTTAAGAATGTTTCATGATAATGATCAAATTTAACAAACAGGCATATTGCAAAAGTGCTTAGCCCATAAGGGTGGATGAGACCTGCAGTGACAATGGGATGAGGGGGCTGGAAGGTGTGGATTTATTTCCGGACAATTTTGCCTGCTTTGCCAGTGCTCAGTGGTTTATAATTTGGCTGAGGCAATAATGTTTGGACATAATTAAAACTGATTTCACTTTCCTGTCTTTAGGAAGTCAATAGAAACCAGTTGTGCTTCGGGGGAGACGTGGCAATTAAGCTGTGGCTGCATTGCATAAGTGGGTGACTTTAGGTTGAATGAAAGAAACCTTTGTTACCTT